ATCCAAAAGATTAAAAAAATGCACCCTTATAGGTGCATTTCCCAAAAAATTGGAGATCTAGTGTGAAACGGCATGTTAATTTATTCTGTCCGAATGGGGGCAAAACGTTACATAGTTAGTTTGGCTGAAAAAAGACAAAAGTCCATCCAGTTCAACAAATTAAAAAAAAAAGAAAAGTTATAATCCTATACCCACAATTGATCCAGAGGAAGGCAAAAAATAACCTCAGCCCAAAGCATGATCCAATATACGCCTGTACAGCAGCTGGCAACCATTTGTCTATGAACAGCAGTACGCAGCACTAGGGTCTCCTGGGCACCAAAATACACTAGTTTGTTTACACAGTACTAGAGAAGACACCTCTTTGCATGGGTCCCTTGGCTATTTTTTCTCCAGGTCAAATATTTTTCATTCCTATAGAATTCAATATTAGGAAATAAATATTTGTTTCCTATGATCATCAGCTCCATGTGGCCCTAATGCTGTATTTTTATGATTCACCTCATTCTGAATGAATGAAAAACATTCAAATTCAGGAGAAGACAGCCTAGTAGTCTAATAACATTTGATTTTGCCTTGATTTGAACAGAACAAATGTACATACAGCTTCACAGGATGAATAACTTTTTAAAAATACTCCCCTTAGTGTATGCAAACCCTAACAATGAACTTCACTTACTTTCTCCCTTTTGGTCTAATGAAGATTCTTTTGATATTGTTTTGTTATATATACTAGATAAGTGCACAATTTACCTGTTGATTTCTTGAAAACATATGAGCTGATGAGTGATGGGGCAAAGTCCTTTTAGCACCCAAAGTGAAAAAGCAAAACAGCATCCTCACCAAGGAGCTGGGAACTACTTCAACAGTATAGGTTGCAGGCCCTGCCCATTATGCACTCTTGTCCTGCTGAAGTGCCCAAGGTGGTTGCCCTTTTTGCCTACCCCTCAGTCTAGCCCTGAAGCTGATAATGTCAGTGCTCTCTACTTGTGAACAAGGAGGGGTTATGGAAACAGGAAGGGGTGGAGATGAGAAGGGGTCTGTATTATTTGTAATTAATCAGAAACAGGGGCGGACTGACCATTCGAGCACTCGGGCACTGCCCGAGGGCCCAGGGTCAGTGGGGGGCCCCATGAAATGCCCCTGGTACCCTTTTTTTTTTATTGGCTTTTTTGGGTGTGCTTTGAGTGTGGGCAAGGACACAGGGGCTCCATGATCCCCGATTACTCAGGGGCCCCATGCGTTGTCAGTCCACCCCTGATCAGAAATTAAGTAGGCAGGGCTGACACCACGTGCTTAAGAACATATTATATTTCTGATACATCAACATTTACTTTTCTGTACATGCAGTGTGTTTAAAGGAATAACACATGGGAAAATGTGTAATCTGCAGATGTATTAAATGTTTTCTAGCCTTGACATATGTATTAACTTACTAGAAGTGTGGTTTTCCACCTCAGCAATTCAAAAAGACGCTTTGCAAAAGATTACTCCTCATGTCATTACTTGGACAAGGCCATTGTCTGCTTGGGTGCCTAATCCTGCATCAGGGGAGCACAGGGAGAGGGACGCATTTTTAACCATAACCTAGATGTACGGGAATCTTAATGTAGAGAATGAGAAGATAACCAGTAAGATAAAAAAAACAACAAAAGAAAGACATGACTAGGCAACAAATGTTCCATGCCATCTGTGATTTTTTTTTTTTCTCTTAGTTAAAAGTGAGGATGAAGATGGATGTCACACCCATAGTAAAGGAAGCGACGATGCAAAAGATGTTAAACGCTCCAAAAGACCAAGGACAATACTGACCACACAGCAAAGAAGGGCATTCAAAGCATCATTCGAAGTGTCTTCCAAGCCATGCAGAAAGGTAGACGTTGCAACCTACCTCATATTGCAATACATTTTTTGTCACACTTCAAATGATCCAATTATTTTTAGAGCATAATACAAGAGAAAATATACTGAGATCCTTAGCAATCCATCAAATTTTTGTTTTATTATATAACTTTCTTCAGAAGATTTAAAGAATTTGGTATCTATGAGAATCACAAATACAAGTAGAGTATGCTTCATGCACAACTGTGCTTCTCCATTCAGGGAAAAGTGATGGGGTTCTTGAATAGCTGGCCCCTCTACTGTCAACACCTTCACTCACTCCCCTGTTTGACCTGCAGAGGCTCCTCCAAAGTCCCTGTGTGTTGGGTAGGTGTAGCGTGGTGTGGCGGGGCGGGCAGTATGCACATGAAGCCCCAATTGCCAGAAAAAATCTGTTGGAAAAATAGTTCAACAGCACAAACAGGCCAGGCGGGTAGGTTCACCCGAACAGGAACACTTACAACAGTGTAGAGACAGCATTTTGTAGACTCGGAGTTATTGACAGTATCTGCCAAGAGGAGAGGAGTGCGGCCTGGCCAGTCCAACCCAAAGGTGAAGCTTCCTGAGACGGTAGACGTCTCTCTCCCTACCACTAGTGCTGCCCCTGACAGACGGGTAACCGGTTCTTACACTAGTCACTCACACAAAGCATTCCAAAACCCAGGGTCAGAGTATTAAATAGACTCTGCTTAACCCAAGATGGTCGCAAGGGTCACAAAGGTCAGCCTTCAGGGACCCTGGTGAGGTCCCCCCTTGGTCTAGAAGACTGTTGTATTCGGCCACGGATGTGTGGCTTGAAGTGTGCTTCTCTTTTATGCTTGTGAGTAGTAACTCTAGTTATTTTACAATAAAGATCCTTAAGATAATGCACTAGGCTGGTGCGCCCAATTTCTCCCTCTTCCTGTAGATGTTCACACCGACAAACCTTCGCAGTGCAGGGAGAGCTCCACAGCAAATATAACTTTCAATTTTAAGCATTGAGACACTTTCTGTGCAGAAAGAATGTCAATCTTCCATTTTAAAACTAGGAGCATGCACCTGTGTATGATCTTAATTCTGAGATCACAGTGCCACTATCAGCTGCTGGTATATATTAACAAAGAACAGAAAAACCAGAAAGAATTTACCTTTTATGAAGCCTTGTTTACAAGACCTTTATAACATGTCTACCTCTATCTAATCAATGAAGATCAGCCTATTTGTTTTTTTGCCATCAGAAATACTGGCTCTCCTGTTTGTATTTAGTGCTTAGCAAACATGTTGACCACATGCTTCCAGGGGCGGACTGACCATTTGGAAACTCGGGCACTGCCTGAGGGCCCAGGGTCAGTAGGGGGCCCCATGAGAAGCCCCTGGTACCTTTTTCATAGGCTTTTTTGAGTTTGGGCAAGGACACAGGGGCCCCATGATCCCCTATTGCTCGGGGGCCCCATGAGTTGTCAGTCCACCCCTGCATGCTCCTATATATTATACACAATCTTGTGTTTTATATATATCAATATACATAATTGTATCTATTATTGATACCAAAATACTTCTTTTTTTTCTGTGCAGGTGAGGGAGACACTGGCAGCAGAGACAGGGCTGACCGTTCGCGTTGTTCAGGTTTGGTTCCAGAACCAGAGAGCCAAGGTACAGCCACGGGTACAATGGACCAAAGTCTAAGCCTAAAATTCCACTTCTCCTTTTATATAAGGAAATGTATCAAATCAAAATGTGTAATCTAGCCCAGATGGAACCAAGTATTCCAGAACTCATTTATAATTTACTAGGTAATAGTTAGTGAGGCAGTAAAGTTAAACCAATTAATTGGCTTGTGCACCAAGGACGTACTGTTCCACTACAGGCTTAACCCTTCTCTACACTCCACGGGTATCAGGAGCAGGCTGCCCATGGCTGTGAATTGCTTCACATTCAATACTCCAGTCCCTAGAACAGGGGAAAGGAAGCTTCTCACGTTAAAGCCAATGTAAAATGTATTGAAACAACCAATGCATGTAGTCCACCAAACACAAACAACCCTAACACGTACAGTCCTACATAGAGGTTCTTGATTTTTTACAAATAAGCTGCACGTAGGAATGAAACATGTTAAATTTGTTTGTATCTGGTGTACTATATAGTGCATCAATTGTTTCAAAATATTTTACATTGACTTTGGCTGCCTACTCATTGGCTTGCTATCCTAGATCTACTGAGTCAGGATATGACTGCTTTCATTAGAGTCCCTTTAAAGGAATAGTCCACCAAAAATTAAAATCTCTGTTTTTTGGTTGATGCTGGAAAACTAAATCCCCTGCCCAATTTTTTTTATATCTTTTGTGGGACTCCAGTGGTGACGTCTCTCCACTTAAAGTTCCTGGATCGGAACACCTGCTGTGGCCATTATAAGAGGCTTACACTCTCCAGTTGACTTTTGTATTCATGTTATATTTCAGAGAATGAAGCAGGAGGACCTGGAACAAAATCTAAAACTCCCAGGTAGACAGGAATAGAGTCAGGAATTGTGGTAGGAAAATCTCACTACTGTATCAAAGTATCAATTACATATAGGAACCAGGAGCTGGCTTAACCCACCACTTATTACTGAAAGATCACTTTTTGGTGGACTGACATTTTTCACCTAAATACTGTATGCTGGCACTGAACGCTGTGCATTGTTTAGCTACGCTCCACACATCATTAGCATTTTGATCTGAATGTAGTCATACCACCAAAAAACCCAACAGGCCTGTCACTGCAGGAATCTTATAGCTACTATCACCAGTTTTTCATCCTCACCACCATCATTGTGGCATCCCTTTGCTTCTCTAAGTGGGGACTGAGGAGGCAGCAGCTAGAGAAAGTAATTCCAGATCTACCTTTCCTTAGCTGTGTATTCTTTAATATTCTCAAAGTTTGTTGCAGCTTTGCATCAATCAGAGCATGGAAGATTTGTAATGTTCTTGAAAAGTAGACCAAAAGGCAAAGTACCTGTGATCATAACTAGAGATGAGCGAAGTATTCAAAAATTCGATTCGACTGATTCAGCGAATTCGTGAAAAAATTTCGATTCGATGCGAATATATTCGCTGCGAATTTAACTTATAAAAGGGTGTTTCTAGGCTTCAGAGAGCCTTTATAATAGTGCAGAACACTGTACCTTTAATTTTAAATGCCCTTGGAGTCTGCTGGGGAAGAGAAATAATACTGTCAGTCAGTATGACATGCAGATGAGTGCCGTCGATCTTAGAATCACCGCACACTTCACTCATTTGGGCAGTCACGGGGCCAAAACCAGAGTGTGGAGCCACAGTGTGGCAGTGGAGGCAGCAGCAATGGGAGGCCATACAGCACCCTATGACAAAAATGGAAACCACCAGCAGTGTGAGGAGACCTGAAAGTGGCACATGGCAGAGTGTGGCGATGGAGACAGCAGCAATGGGAGGCCGTACAGGGACCCATGACACACTCTGGACCTGGCAGCAGCATGAGGAGGCGGTACAGGGGCCCATGACAGATTACGGGCCTGGCAGCAGCATGAGGAGTCGGTACGGGGGCCCATGGCAGATTACGGGCCTGGCAGCAGCAATGGGGAGGCCGTACAGGGACCCATGACACACTCTGGACCTGGCAGCAGCATGAGGAGGCGGTACAGGGGCCCATGACAGATTACGGGCCTGGCAGCAGCATGAGGAGTCGATACGGGGGGCCCATGACACACTCTGGACCTGGCAGCAGCATGAGGAGGCGGTACAGGGGCGCATGACAGATTACGAGCCTGGCATCAGCAACTTGGACAGGAGGACGTTCAGCTTCTGCACCGTCGGGTGCGTGCTCGCAAACTGTTGTCTCTTGGAAACGGATTCCAAGAAAGACTGCTGACGGAATCCGTGAAGAGGAGTAGCAGGAGAAGGAGCATCTGAACGAGCGGAATATGCCAACAAGCGACAACAGGGGCCCATGACAGATTACGGGCCTGGCAGCAGCATGAGGAGTCGGTACGGGGGCCCATGGCAGATTACGGGCCTGGCAGCAGCAATGGGAGGCCCGTAATCTGCCAGCACCCTATGACAAAAAAATGGAACACACCAGCAGTGTGTGAGGAGACCTGAAAGTGACACACATGGCAGAGTGTGGCGATGGAGACAGCAGCAATGGGAGGCCGTACAGGGACCCATGACACACTCTGGACCTGGCAGCAGCATGAGGAGGCGGTACAGGGGCCCATGGCAGATTAGGGGCCTGGCAGCAGCAATGGGAGGCCCGTAATTTGCCAGCACCCTATGACAAAAAATGGAACATACCAGCAGTGTGAGGAGACCTGAAAGTGGCACATGGCATGAGACACTGTGGACCTGGAAGCAGCATGAGGAGGCGGTACAGGGGGCCCATGGCAGATTAGGGGCCTGGCAGCAGCTATGGGAGGGCCCGTAATCTGCCAGCACCCTATGACAAAAAATGGAACACACCAGCAGTGTGTGAGGAGACCTGAAAGTGGCACATGGCAGAGTGTGGCGATGGAGACAGCAGCAATGGGAGGCCGTACAGGGACCCATGAGAGACTCTGGACCTGGCAGCAGCATGAGGAGGCGGTACAGGGGCCCATGGCAGATTAGGGGCCTGGCAGCAGCAATGGGAGGCCCCGTAATCTGCCAGCACCCTATGACAAAAAATGGAACACACCAGCAGTGTGAGGAGACCTGAAAGTGGCACATGGCATGAGACACTGGGGACCCTGGCAGCAGCATGAGGAGGCGGTACAGGGGCCCATGGCAGATTAGGGGCCTGGCAGCAGCTATGGGGGGCCCGTAATCTGCCAGCACCCTATGACAAAAAATGGAACACACCAGCAGTGTGTGAGGAGACCTGAAAGTGGCACATGGCAGAGTGTGGCAATGGAGACAGCAGCAATGGGAGGCCGTACAGGGACCCATGAGAGACTGTGGACCTGGCAGCAGCATGAGGAGGCGGTACAGGGGGCCCATGGCAGATTAGGGGCCTGGCAGCAGCAATGGGAGGCCCGTAATCTGCCAGCACCCTATGACAAAAAATGGAACACACCAGCAGTGTGAGGAGACCTGAAAGTGGCACATGTTTGGGGCATGATTCATGGCGGATTTAGTCAGTTGTGTCAGGAACTGGTGGTTTGAAATCCAGACTAATCCACGCCTGATTCATTTTCACAAACGTGAGTCTCTCCACACTTTGGGTGGACAGTCGTGTCCTCCGCGGAGTTACAATACCTCCTGCCGCACTAAACACGCGCTCCGATGCCACGCTACTGGCCGGGCATGACAGCCTTTCAAGGGCAAATTCAGCTAGTTGGGGCCAAAGGTCAAGTTTCGTTGCCCAGTAGTCAAGGGGATTGTCTACCTCGGTTAGCAGGGTGCTGTCCAAGTAGGCCTAAGCCTGTTGTTTGAGGTCCTGCTCCAGGTCCACCTGATGCTGCTGCTGCTGCGGCTGGTTAGTAGTTTCCTCACTGCGCTGGTGAAGAAAGCTACTCATCATCAGGGCCCTCGATCCCCTCATGTTTTGCATTGTATTGGTATTGTTCTGTCACATGTTCTGTCCCCCTTTGTAATGTACAGCGCTGAGCGAACTATTGGCGCTTTATAAATACTGAATAATAATAATAATAATAATAATCATCGACTGCAGACTGAGGCAGCCGCTGCTGGTGGAGCTGCCACTGCTCCTACCACCCCACCCCCCCCCCTGCTGCCATGGCAGCGGAACGCGAGCGCACAGGGCCCACAGTGTCTGAGGATGGACGTTGGCGCAGAAAGGCAGAGACCAGCTGACTACATAGGTGGTTTTTATAGTACGTTATTTTGGCCTCCCTCTCAGGAGGTGTGAAAAAAGGCCACCATTTTTGAACGGTAGCGAGGGTCCAACAAGGTGGACAGCCAAAAGTCATCCCTCTGTCTGATGGTTATTATTCGGCTGTCGCTACGCAAGCAAGCGAGCATGCTATGGGCCATTTGTGCCAAGGAATGCGAGGGACTCCCTGCCTCCATCTCCACAGCATACTGCCACGGTGCGTCTGGGTCCTCTGTCTCCTCCTCCTCCTCCTCTACCAGATGCTCCTGCTCCTCCACTCCTGTCCGCTGAGTGGAAAAACCACCCATTTCACTCAATTCCTGAGCACAAATGTCCTCCTCTACCTCCTCCTCTTCTTCCTGTCCTGCCCCCACAGGGGTCATGTGGCGTTGAGATCTGTGCGCCACGTCTACCGCACCCTGACCAGCCATTGTTAACAGCATTTGTTCCAGGACGTGCAACAGAGGAATGACGTCGTTCATCCCATAGTCCTGCCGACTCACGAATAGCGTGGCCTCCTCAAAGGGCCTCAGCAAGCGGCAGGTGTCACGCATGAGCTGCCAATGGCTGACATCGAAGTTACACAGGGGAGTACCTTTATCCGCTTGTAACATCAGGAAATCGGTGATGGCCTTTCGCTGTTCGTAAAGGCGGTCTAACATGTGTAGGGTTGAATTCCACCTTGTTGCAAACGTCGCAGATCAGGCGATGCTGTGGAATTCTGTTCTGCCGCTGCAGCTCAAGGAGGGTGTGCTTTGCGGTGTAGGAATGGCTGAAATGCATGCAAAGTTTACGTGACATTTTAAGGATGTCTTGCAGTGGGATGGTGGATTTTAGGAACGCTTGACAACCAGATTGAAGACGTGAGCCATGCATGGCGCATGGCACAACCTTCCTTGACGCAGAGCAGACACCATGTTCTTTCCGTTGTCGGTCAACATGGTTCCGATTTTCAGTTTGCGCGGAGACAGCCATCTGTCGATTTCTCTGTTCATTACACTGAGAAGTTCCTCCCCTGTGTGACTACGTTCGCCAAGGCATACCAGGTGCAGCACAGCGTGACACCGTTGCGCCCTGCACATGTGATATGCCGGTCGGGTAATGGGACTTGGCACGGGGGGTGGCGGCTGAGGACACGGCGGAAGAAGAGGTGGTAGAGGCGGACATCTTTTGTGGACCAAGGACGTGCAAACGTGGAGGCAAAAGCGGCGTGACCTGTCCAAGTTGCTGGTGCGGCTGTGACGGCACCACGTTCACCCAGTGGGCCGTAAATGACATGTACTGTCCCTGACTGTAGTTACAGCTCCACACGTCGGCGCGCTGCCGTGCACTTTGGCAGAGACCGACATGCTCAAAGACTGGCCCACCATCTCTTCTACATGTGAATGCAGGGCTGGCACTGCCTTTTTGGCGAAGAAATGATGGCTTGGCACTCTCCACCGCGGCGCGGCACAAGCAATCATTTCTCGGAAAGGTGCTGAGTCCACCACTTGGAAAAGGGAGGGACTGCAGCACCAGCAACTTGGACAGGAGGACGTTCAGCTTTTGCACCGTCGGGTGCGTGCTCGCAAACTGTTGTCTCTTGGAAACGGATTCCAAGAAAGACTGCTGACAGAATCCGTGAAGAGGAGTAGCAGGAGAAGGAGCATCTGAACGAGCGGAAGATGCCAACGAGTGACAACTCCCCTCAGCAGAGGTGTTGGAGCCTTGACTGGCTGATAGAGGGCGATTGACGTCGGGTGACGGAGCAAGTAACGGAGCGGGTGATGGAGCGGGGGCTGGGGCAGGCAGAACCGCCGTATCTTTATCACGGTTTTCCCAGGCCACCAAATGGCGACGCTGCATATGCTGACGCAACGCTGTAGTCCCAACATGGGCCCCCTGGCCACGCTTGACTTTCTGGCCACATAGTCGACATACGGCTACGTTTACTTCCTCGGGCGGCTTGACGAAAAAATTGCCACACCGCCGAGTAGGAAACTTTGCCCCCGATACTCCTCACTGGCTGACTGCTGCTTCCTCCGTGCACACCGGCACCACTACTGGCCGTGGTGGTAGGCTGCAGTGGAGCTGGTGCTGTACTCCGTGGCCGTTTGCCTCCACTGACACTGCTGCGACCCTGCTGCCTCCTGGGCAACCCACCGACTGTTTTGCTCGCTGCCAAGCTGCCACCCTCTTCCTGATGATGCGGAAGCAATAGCCTGATGACGACGAGGCTGCCAAGTGCGATCAGACTCATCATCATCAATTAGGGTCTCCGCCTCACTACTAGCCCCCTCGGCTGCGTGTGGGTCAGGAGACAGACCTGTCTCTAGACCGGCTACCGAGCCACTCTCCTCGCCACTACTTCTTCGCCTGGCTGCTGAAGAGGCGGATGTCTCCCCCCGTTCCTGACCGCCCTCTGTTAGCTCTTCCTCACTGTACAGTGGGGCTGAGCCCACAGCATGCGATACTTCGCTTGGTGAGGGAACACCAAAGGACAGGGGCAGGTAGAGGACACGTGATTTCAGTGGGCTTGCTCCCGGGCCATGCCAACTAACGGTTGTGTCTGACGTACCCACCGACCGTTGGCTGTAGGTGTCAGAGGTGACCTGGGAAGAGGAAGACGACCGAGCCAACCAATCGATGACGGCAGGGTTGTCGGTGGAGACACGACCGCTGGATGACACCGGGAGCACTGGCCTCTGGCTGCGACTAGTGCTGCCTCGACCCCTTCCTCTGCTGCCACGTCTGCTCGCTCCTAAAACATTGCCTCCTCTGCCACTCCTCTGCATGTTGTCTGACATACTCTTTAATTAAACGATTCTGTGTCCCTGAGTAACAATTCTGTGTCTGTCCCTGAGTAACAATTCTGTGTCCCTGAGTAACGTTTCTGTGGCCCTAAGAACAGTTCTGTGGCCCTCAGTAACAATTCTGTGTCCCTCAGTAACAATTCTGTGTCTGTCCCTGAGTAACAATTCTGTGTCCCTCAGTAACAATTCTGTGTCCCTCAGTAACAATTCTGTGTCCCTCAGTAACAATTCTGTGTCCCTCAGTAACAATTCTGTGTCCCTCAGTAACAATTCTGTGTCTGTCCCTGAGTAACAATTCTGTGTCCCTGAGTAACGTTTCTGTGGCCCTAAGTAACAGTTCTGTAGCCCTCAGTAACAAATCTGTGTCCCTCAGTAACAATTCTGTGTCTGTCCCTAAGTAACAATTCTGTGTCCCTAAGTAACGTTTCTGTGTCCCTAAGTAACGTTTCTGTGGCCCTAAGTAACGATTCTGTGGCCCTAACTAACGTTTCTGTGTCCCTAAGTAATGTTTCTGTGTCCCTAACTCTCTCCCTGAATACAGCCAGGTCTGCCTCTGTTGAATGACTGGAGGCAAATGGAGAATTTCTAAAAAATGGCCGCCATTTATAGCTCGACCATTACACTGTGCTGGCTGGCTGGCTGCTGATTGGCTAATGCGATCACATGTCATGAATGAATGCATTATGGGTCAGCGCGCCTTGTCTGCGCGCCTTCCCAGACATCCCCGCTCCGTCGCCGCACATGTCGCCGTCATTTTAGGAAAAATTTTCGATTCGCGCATCCGAAGTCTGCTTATTTTCGGATTCGACGCGAATCGAAATTTTCCTAATATTCGAAACGAATTCCACTTCGCCTAGTTCGATTCGCTCATCTCTAATCATAACTCTAATACTGGTGCATTAGACAAGAGAGGAACCTTCTGAGAGTCAAGACCCAACTGGGATCCAGTGCTAAGTTTTTGAAGTCCATGTAATGAATTACTCAGACACACATTGTTTTTGGTCCAAGAAAAGGCAAATGTCAGCACCTGTGGTAGTGAGCCTTTGTAGATGGTCAACTAGTGTTCCCCAGGGCGCAGAGTCTAAGCCCCAGCCTGCTTCTTCACCAGAGCCCCTGATGGTGAGGATGGACTAGCAGCAAGCTGGGACCAGGTCTCGGCCCCCGGGTACGCCCAGCTGAGGATGAGGAGGCCGCTCATGGGAGCAGAGTACAATGGGAGGAGACTATCTGAAAGACTAGCCAAGGTCAGGACAGGCAGAAAACAAGCACAGTCAGAGAACGAAGCTGAGGTCGGTACACGAGTAGCCAATGCAGGATACAGGAGATAGCAACACACAGGAGCTCAGACAAC